ATAGTTACCATATGATTCAGCAACGCTACTCCTAGGTATTTGCCTCACAGAAATGAAAACATATTCAAACATTTGTACATGAATGCTCATAGCAGTATTACTCATAACAACCAAAATCATGCAGACAACCCAAATCTCCAACTGCTGAATGGACAAACAAAATGCGGTACATCCAGACAATGCAATATTATTCAGCCATAAAAAAGAACAAAATACTGATACACGCTATAATAAGGATGCCCCTTAAAATGTTATGCTGAAGGAAAGAAACCAGACACAAAAGGTCACATATTGCATGATCTCTTTTATATGAAATGTCCAGAATAAGGAAATCCCTAGAGACAGAATCAGATTACTGGTTGCCCTGGGGGTGGGGCAGGAGGAAATGTGGAGTGACTGCTAATGCATATTAGGTTTCTTTTTGGGGTGATGAAATGTTCTGGAATTGGATAGTGGTGATGATTACACAACTTCCTAAATACACTGAAACCCACTGAATTGTATACTTTCAAAGGATGAATTTTATTCAATCAAAAAAATTTAAAAGTAAAAAAATAAAAAGAAATTGAAAGGCACGCTCTTGGTAAAAAAAAAAGAAATCAAACACGTTAAAAAGATATGTGATAAAAAGTAAATTCTCTTTCACAAAGTCTACCAAGCATTTTTTTGGTGAGTCTTGCCAATTTTTCTTTTCCTCTTTTAAATATGAATGTGCACATACTCTACATTCTGTTCAGCAACTTGCTTTTTCCCTGAACAATAATCTTGGCCATCTGTCCCTAACTGTACCTGCATAACTATTTCATTTCTTTTTAACAGCTCACAGTGTTCTCTGACATGACTATACTGTGCTGATGGATGATTAAATGGTTTTCAAGTTATTTTGCTACCAGAAACAATGCTCAGAGAATATTTTCCTATATATATCTTTGTGAACTGGTGGGAATATATCTGTAGGATTATTTCCTAGTTGAGAGATTGCTTGTTCAAAGAACTGTACATTTTATTTATTTGGATAAACTCACTTTATTTAAATTTTAAATAGATTACATTCACAAATCAAAAGATACAAAAAGTATACATTGAGAGTTTCTGTCCTTTAACCTGAGAAACCAATGTTAGCAATATCTTATGATTTTTCCCCACAAATATTCTTTTTATTTATTTATTTGAGAGAGAGAGAGAGAGAAAGTGAATGAGAAGGGGTAGGGTCAGAGGGAGAAGCAGACTCCCTACCGAGCAGGGAGCCTGAAGCGGGACTTGATCTCGGGACTCCAGGATCATGACCTGAGCCGAAGGCAGATCTCGGGACTCCAGGATCATGACCTGAGCCGAAGGCAGTTGCTTAACCAGCTGAGCCACTCAGGCGCCCCCCACAAATATTCTATAATGTATAAGTAAAAACATATGTGCAGTTTGAGGATGTTGTTAGCATGGTGGGATGTATTTGGCTTTTGAAAACTATTGTTAACTTGAACCCTAGAAAGGTTGCCCCAAAAGTGTATGAGATTATCTCCATCTTTTTTTTTTTAAAGATTTTATTTATTTGACAGAGAGAGAGATAGCAAGAGCAGGAACACAAGCAGGGGGAATGGGTGAGGGAGAAGCAGGCTCCCCGCGGAGCAGGGAGCCCGATGCGGAACTCGATCCCAGGACCCCGGGATCATGACCTGAGCTGAAGGCAGACGCTTAACGACTGAGCCACCCAGGCGCCCCAGAGATTATCTCCATCTTGAATACTTTTCTGATACATGGAGAGTCAGGAACTTTCCAGATACTTTAATGTGGCCCAAATTCCAAATTCACCACTTAAAATAATTGTAGCATCACAGAGCCTCTGAAATCATCAGTTCTGTTGGCATTTTGGTGGGTGGACGTTGTTATGACGGTCCTCCTGGCTCCCGATCCATGTGGTTTGGGAGGCCCAGGGGTTCAGGCTCAGGGAATTACCAGGACCCAAAGCTTAGAAATGATCACCTTCTGGAACTGCCATGAGGCCAGATCAGTAGTTGTGTCTGACTTGGTTATAGGTTACAGACACTCAAACTGGTTTAGGCAAGAAAGGGAATTTATTGGCTCAGGGGACTCAGTCGTCCAGAGTTTGCTCCAGGTGCTCCAGAGACATCTTCAAGAATCTGCCCTGTCTCCCAGCTCTGCTTTCTTCTGCGTTAGGGTTATTCTTAGGCAGCCTCTCTTTCCGTTGAAGCCACCTGATAATAGGTTTATATTATGCCTATTTGTCAGTCTCAGCCAAAGAGGATATTTCTACTCGGTATTTCAGTTAAAGTCCTAGGAATGCGCCTCCGTGACTTGACTTTGGTCACATGCCTCCAGGAACCAATCAGTAGAGCCAGAAGGATGGAATGATCTGATTGGCTAGATCCTGATCAGGTGTTCACCCCAGGATCTGGGGCTGGGGGCAGAGCCAGAGAATGGAATGATCTGGTTGGTCAGATTCTGATCAAATGTTTATCCCCCCCCCCCCCCCCGCCCCCCGAGCTCGGGCTGGGGCAGTGGTTGAGTATGTCGTGGTGACTGAATGTGTTTACTCGGGTCAGATCAGGTAGGCTAAAAATGGGGGGGGAAGGTGCTTTTCCAAAGGAAAACTGAGGTGGTGTTATCAGGAAAAGGGCTAATGGATGCAGTCAACTAAAAAAAAAAAAAAAGTCTAGTATGTTTTCAAATTTTGCTTCCTTATCCTCAAGAATTTTGAAAACCTATGTACCTCTTTACATGTTTTTATATTGACGCATAGACTTTTTTGTCTGTGAGTCAAAAATATGTAAGAAAAGGTAATTTTCAGAATTGTGTACACAGATATTTTAAAATAAGACTATTATCTCACTCCTTTAGTTGCATATAATAGAATATAAATACTACAGCAACTTGATACCCTCTAACATGTATTTAAAAAATTGTGGACCAGCTCTTTAATAGTCAAAAATATCAAATTGTACCTTCCTTTTTTTGGGATCATATCTCTAGTTTACTTTTCAGAAAGAAGTTTACCCTCATATAGTTTATGCTTGAAAATCTTATTAGTCATCCAGTGATCTTCTTCTGGAATAGAAGTACTTGTATAGCTTTAAATTAGAAAAAAATTTCTGTGATTTAAGACTCTAGGGGTTAATTTTTTTTCTAGATTTAATTATTACAAAATTATTACTACAGATATCAAAGCAACAGAAATACATTAAAATCTTCTGTAATTAATTATTAAAGAAGAAAATAATAATTTTGGAGGGCAGTAAGAGGAGGGTAGATTATAGTACCTTTTATTTTTTTATTTTATTAATTTTTTAGAGCTTTACTTAGAGAAAGAGGGAGAGCACTAGAGCAGGGGGAGGGGCGAAGGGAGAGGGAGAGAGGGAGAGAATCTCAGACTCCCTGCTGAGCATGGAGCCTGATTTCAGGGCCTGATCCATGACCAGAGCCTAAATCAAGAGTCAGATGCTTAACCGACTGAGCCACCCAGGTGCCCTGTAGCGCCTTTTAAAAGGGGCTTGGCAGGCACCTAATTTTCCCTTCAGTGGATACTCTGGAAGTCAGGAATTTTCACTGCCTTTGGGGCAATACATTAATTAGTAACTAGTTCTCTGTAACAAATCACCATAAACTTGGTGGCTCAAAATCATTACCAGCTCACAGTTCTGTAGGTCAGTAGTCTGAAATGATGTGACTGAGTTTTCTGCTCAGTGTCTCCCGAGGCTGAAATCAAGGTACTGACAGAGGCTGTGTTCTCATCTGGAATTGTGGGCTTTCTTTCATGGTCACATGGTTGTGGCAGAATCTAGTTCCCTCTGGTTGTAGGAATGAGGTCCTTGTTCCCTCGTTGGCTGTCAGCCGGAGGCTGCTCTCAGCTTCTGCAGGCCACACACAGTCCTTGTCATGTGGCCCCCTCTCTCTTCAAAGCCAGCAGGGGAGAATTTTTTATGCAATCACTCATATTTTATTTATTTTTTAATAAATGGACCTTTGACCTTTATGGCTCATGTGATTAGATCAGGGTAATCTCCCTATCTTAAGGTCAGCTGCTTTGGGGCCTTGATTACATTTGCAAAGTCTCATCACGTTTAGATTCATATTTGATTGAGTAACTGGGGGAGAAGGTGTGTGTGCACCAGGGGTTGGGAATCCTGGGGACTGTCTTGGAATTCTGCCTGCCTCAGTGAGATACTCCAAGGGTAAAACGTTTGACTTTTTAATTTTGTCTCATTTTTGTAAATGCGAGAAGGGCAGTTGTGACTGGGGAGATGCAAAAGGAGAGCGCCCTGAACAGGACGATACCTGGAGTACAGGTGCCTTGTCCAGGCAGTGGATTTTAGGAAAGCATGGGGATCAGGCATTGATTTGCTGAACTCTTTGTGCCCATGTCAGTCTTTGTACCCCCAGGGATACACCCGTTCCATTCGGAAAACTGTTGCCTCTGTGATCATGGAGACACCTTGATGCTTGGCAAATAGATATGTCAAAGCAGCAAATGGAGCTGGCAGCCAGAGGGTTGGGGCTGGGAGGGGTGGAAACGGTGACAACAAAAAGACCCTGATGCAAAGGCAATTGCCACTTTCTTTTCCAATCCCCGGACAGGCTTTTTTTTTTTTTTTTTTTTTTTTTTTCTGGAAGAATATTCTGTTTCCTCTCTAGGGAATAAAGAAATCTGAAGTCACAGCTTGCTGTTATCCTTACAGCTGTAACTGTTGCCTAGTAACCAGATTCCCCCTCTCCTTGCTTGTTGCCAGGGAGAGGGCAGAAAGGTAGAGAGGAGTGCACTTCTGAACCTCTTCAGAGCTATTGTCCTGCTCACTCCACACAGGACTCCTTGCTTCAGGGAGTTGGGTGGATTGCCCAAGGCCAGCAGTTTAGATTCTATGAGCAGAGTGACACTGGTCCCCTTGCCCCAGGCTGCTTGGGCAGGGAACTGGGAGGAAGAGCACTCATGGGGACGTCTCCTTATGGAAGGGACCATGACAGCCCCCCTTTCTCCTTTTGGCCCGGTCTAGGGCAAACAGAGGATGTGCAGATGCTCCTGAGCTTTGGGGCAGACCCTACCCTGCTGGATCGACAGTCCCGTTCTGCCATGGATGTCCTGAAGAGGAATAAGAACTTCAAAGCCATTGAGAAAATCAACAGTCACTTGGCAAAGCTGGCTGCATGTTCTAAGGACCTATCAGGTACAGCTTCTAGTGAAATAACTTTTTGGGAGATGGGTGGTAAAACGGGTCCTGTGACATTAGATACAAATCAGTTTATACTTTCTTAGTATATGAAGATGGAAGTGAGACCCCCAGTCTTAGAAAACTTGTTTGCTTTTTTTTGAAAGACAGAGACAACTCTTTTTTTTTTTTTTAAAGATTTTATTTATTTATTTGACAGAGAGAGACACAGCGAGAGAGGGAACACAAGCAGGGGGAGTGGGAGAGGGAGAAGCAGGCTTCCCACCGAGCAGGGAGCCCGATGCGGGGCTCAATTCCAGGACCTGGAATCATGACCTGAGCAGACGCTTAACGACTGAGCCACCCAGGCACCCCTGTGAGACAACTCTTATTTAGAGAGTGTCTGTGACATCCCGATCACTTTGCCAGGTCCACCTTTGGGTAGTTTGGGTGTTTTTTTTTTTTCCCCATGCATGCACACAGTATAAAAAGGAAAAAAAGTCATACAGAAGAGGGGCTAACAAAAAATCAAGGCTACTCCTCAGAAGCAACTACAACCAACAATTTAAAATATGTTCATATCTCTGAAATAGATACGGTTTATCAGTTTGGGACAGCATTTATTGACTGGCTGCTGTATAGGATGAAATGCAACAAGTTCGCTCCAACTGATGAATTTTGCCCAGTAATGTCATTTGTGTCATTTACATTCTGTTCCTTAGCTCTTGAGTTTTCTGGGCTTCATCCATAGATGAACTGTAGAAATGAAAAACCAGTAAATGGCATTTATATGGTGGTAGTATGATTATGTAAATGGTTATGTAAACTACGTTCTACAACTGGTAGCATAACAGAACCCATAGAAAAGAACCACCAAACGTCCTGAAAACTTCGCTCTTTCAGTGTGATACCATTGAAGCATCCCAGTTTAATGAACCCTATGTGTATACACATATGTACGTATATATACTGTTTGGACCTTATTTAGACTTCAGCCCCAGCGTGTGTGTGTGTGTGTGTGTGTGTGTGTGTGTGTGTGTGTGTATAAATGCTTCCTTTGGTTCTTGCACTCATATATGACTTCGTGGCTCATGTTGTCTGTTTAGATTTCTCTCTTGATTTGTTAGTATACCTGCTCAAGTTTCTTCTGGAGGAGGCATGGACTTACGGAGTTTTTGAAAATGTCTTTATGTTGTCTTTATATTGGTTGAATATGGGCATCGTGTTTTCGAATATAGGCATTGTATTTCATCGATTCTAAATTGCAATTTCTCTCCACATCTTTAAAATTGGAATGTTTCACCATCAGTGATGGGTCAGTTTGATGCAGCTGTTTCTGCTGTGTAGGACAATGCACAGGATCTTAGGTTTATGAAATATGCTGTAAAACCTCATTCCTCCCAACTTTGAGGAAATTGTGTCATTGTATTCTAACCTCCATTTGCTACTGATTAGAAGTCTGATGTCAGTCTCATTTATTTTCCCTTCTAGGATTTTCTCTGTCCTTCGAGTTTTGAAATGTCCCTGGGAAGTTTCTTGGTGTGGGTCCTTATACATTCTTCTCACTTGGCTCTTGTTGGCCCCTCTCAATCTAACTTTTTTAGCTCAGGGAAATTTATCTTCTATCATTTTATTCCCTTCTGATGTCTCTTTGCTGCAAGTATTAAATGGCTGAGCTTCCTGAATTTATAACAAGTCTCTCTACTTTTCCCTACTGTTTTCTAGGTATTTTTTCTTCCCAGACCTTTAACTTGATCTACAGCTTTCCCTTTTATAACTCAGCTTGCCCATTGCATTTGTCTTAATTTGGAAACTCAGTTTTAATTTCTAAGAACTCTTGCTCTCTGATTTTTTCTAATCTATGGCAGCTTTTGCTTGTTTTATATGTGCCGCCTCTTCTTGAGTGGCATTTAAGAATATTGAATTTTTTTTTTTCCTAAAAGAACATCTTCCTCTTCTCTGAATTATTTGTTTCTTTTGGGGTGAGTAGATTCACTTTCTTGTTTCTCTTTTGTGCTATTGCTTTTCTTTAATAATCTTTGGCCCTTTGGATGGTCTGTGTGCATGAATGAAGGACTGGACTGATTAATACTTAATAGATGGTTAGTGTGTTTACTGAAGTTATGTGGATGTGTTTCCCCAGAAACACTCCCCCACCCCTGCAGTGGGTAAGTAGGTGGCAAGTTGAAGGCAGCCCGTTGGGGTGTATGTGTTGGAGTGGGATGCAGTTGGACAGGTGGGGGTCATCGCAATTGCCAGGGTCAGGAAATTTTCACATGGGGGAGAAGCTGTTTTTCATTTAACGTCCCTGCCCCACATTGCCCCATCTATGTTTTCATTTTCATTTACTTATTTAAAATATCGTTTGTTGTTTCTGTGACATCACGGGAATGAGGGGAAAGAAGGGTATTTGCAGAGTTCTCTATTTTTCATGGATTTTTTAAAAAAGTGACATATATTTAGTTTTTAAAAGACCCCCGTGTTAAGGACTTGTGATTTCTTCTGTGAAGTAGTATAATTAATAAGTCACTGTGAAATGCTTTCTGAGAGTTTATGCCTGTAATCTCAACTCCAGGATGGGTTCTACTGTTTGAGAAATTGAAACTAACCGAACAGATTTCTTTACCAGCAAATTTCCAGTTTTAGTGTAACAACAAAAAAGGACCACCAGTTAATGGTGGAAAATGGCTGATTTGTTTGCAGATTTTTTGCTTGCATTTAACTTTTTTGTTTGCAATTATTTCTAACCTTAATTCTTAGAATACTGTATATGTGTATGTGTATGCTATATCTAGTGGTATGGGCTTTAGCATAAGCCATGATATTCTGTTTAGTTTTTTTTTTTTTTAAGGATCACTTCCTTTCTTTTTTAAAGGTTTTATTTATTTATTTGAGAGAGAGAATGAAAGACAGAAAGCACGAGAGGGAAGAGGGTCAGAGGGAGAAGCAGACTGCCTGCTGAGCAGGGAACCTGATGTGGGACTCGATCCCGGGACTCCAGGATCATGACCTGAGCCGAAGGCAGTCGCTTAACCAACTGAGCCACCCAGGCGCCCTTCTGTTTAGTTTTTAAAGTTTTGATTTTTTTCAGTTTTTTTTTGGTGGGGGAAGAGCATAATAGAGAATATCTGCTAATCCTAAAAACAGTTCAGTTTCTGAGATAGAGTCTAACCCTCCTTTCCTCTCTCTTTACCTTCACCAACTAGATTTGTGGCCCAGATTTGGAACCAGGAGAAGAGACTCAGTAGAAAAGCAGCTGGTTCCCTTCCCTTTTTACTTATTAGAATTCAGTTATGCTCACTTGGGAAGAAAAACACATTCAAGAGGAATGTGCCTCCTTCCAAGCCTGCCTTTTGGCTCACTGGGTAGTTTGTGATGACAGTGGATACAGCGAAGCCTACAGCCCCCGATACTCCTTGGTAAACTTACTGGATGTTTGGTTACTTTAAAATATTCTAGACCATCCACCATGAATTTTTCCTTGCCATGCTAGAAAAATATTGAAAGACTATAGGGAAACATGGAATCAAGAAAAGCAAAAGAAACTGATAAAAATCGGACAAGTGGAGGATGACCAGTTATGAAGCAGGGCTAGTGAGTTGGAGTCTTCCGGGTAGCATACTTCCCAAAGACCCCTAGCGGTGGAACCCTTGTAGACGTCGGTATTGGAATCTGACGTCTGTACTGAGTAGCAGGTTACTTTGTGCATCCATACAGCTGTATAGAGTTGTATGCACACATTTTGTTTCAAAGATTTTGCCAGTGGCATAAACTTTAAAACCTAAGGTGGGGCTGGGGAATCTTTGTAGTTGAGGACCATGCAATATAACTTTTGGTATTGATGTAAATGTTCTATATCTGCTCTGTCTCATAGGATAGCCTCTGGCCACATATGGCTTTTGAGCACTTGAAATCTACATGACTCACGCAACAGAAGAATTGAAATTCTAATTTTATTTTAAATACAGTGCCACTGTAGTGGATAGTGTAGTTTTAGACTTTAGTCCCAGCATGGTCTTTTATTTATTTATTTTTTTAAAATAAATTTTTATTGTTATGTTAATCACCATACATTACATCATTAGTTTTTGATGTAGTGTTCCATGATTCATTGTTTGTGCATAACACCCAGTGCTCCAGGCAGAATGTGCCCTCTTTAATACCCATCACCAGGCTAACCCATCCCCCCACCCCCCTCCCTTCTAGAACCCTCAGTTTGTTTTTCAGAGTCCATCGTCTCTCATGGTTCGTTTCCCCCTCCGACTTACTCCCCTTCATTCTTCCCCTCCTGCTATCTTCTTCTTTTTTTTTTCTTAACGTATATTGCATTATTTGTTTCAGAGATACAGATCTGTGATTCAACAGTCTTGCACAATTCACAGCGCTCACCATAGCACATACGCTCCCCAATGTCTATCACCCAGCCACCGCATCCCTCCCAGCCCCCCACCACTCCAGCACCCTCAGTTTGTTTCCTGAGATTAAGAATTCTTCATATCAGTGAGGTCATATGATACATGTCTTTCTCTGATTGACTTATTTCACTCAGCATAACACCCTCCAGTTCCATCCACATCATTGCAAATGGCAAGATCTCATTCCTTTTGACGGCTGCATAATATTCCATAGTGTATATATACCACATCTTCTTTATCCATTCATCTGTCGATGGACATCTTGGCTCTTTCCACAGTTTGGCTATTGTGGACATTGCTGCTATAAACATTGGGGTGCACATACCCCTTCAGATCCCTACATTTGTATCTTTGGGGTAAATACCCATTAGTGCAATTGCTGGATGGTATGGTAGCTCTATTTTCAACTGTTTGAGGAACCTCCATACTGTTTTCCAGAGCGGTTGCACCAGCTTGCATTCCCACCAACAGTGTAGGAGGGTTCCCCTTTCTCCACATCCCCGCCAACATCTGTTGTTTCCTGACTTGTTAATTTTAGCCATTCTGACGGGTGTGAGGTGGTATCTCATTGAGGTTTTGATTTGGATTTCCCTGATGCCGAGC